GAGAATAGTAGTGGGGATCGAAAAACGGGCGAAAAACAGGGGAAGCGAGCCGTGTGTCCGATCCCGATCTCCGATATATTCCGCGGATTCCATGTACGCGCTGGCACACGTAAGCACGGTGATCAACGGTGATTCAAAAATTGTTTTCCGTGCCTTTAGTTTTACATTATCTAACTTTGAAGCTCTGTCAGTTTGTACGATATGTTTTCATAAAAGGCAAGTGAAATTTCATGAGACGAGTAAATGGAGAGCTGCCAAATGCAGCATAACACTTTACTGCAATAGAATTTTATGCATGTTTACTTTAACACTGTTTTAATGTGTCAGCAATTTAATTTATTTGTCACGTTAATTGATGAGTGGCATTATTTCGAATAATAGTAACCGTTACCCATTTTATAAAAATAAGTCTGCAAAATTTAAGTTGTGCCATAAAACTCTTAGTACTTAGTATCATAACGACTTGATTTATTACTTCATTCAACTTTGATATTATCGAACGTTTAGAACTGTTGATAACATTGTTACTATTGTTTAATCAAGGGACTCGGTGTTGTTCTTGGCAAGATTTAATCATATTTACTAAATAACTAATTTTCATGCTAAGACAAGCATATTGGAAACTCAATTAATATGATTTTGTTCAATAATGATAAATTTAAGAAAGAAGATTATTTCAAATGTTTATTAAAGATTAAAAGTGTACATAATCTGTTTTTAGATGGACAGATTACGATTATTGCCATTGGAATTGCCATCAGCCACCAATATAAATAATAATAATGGAACGATTAAAGGGAGAATATCCTTTGTTCGAAGATTAGCAGTAGGATTCGTAATCCTGGCTACATTAGGTTTGTTGTATGTGCCAGCATACCATTCTGCCCAAGGTCCATTTTTAGGCTTAGGTGAGACTTCATCTCCTGCAGAGCATATTGGTGTTTCACATTTGATAGCCTCAGTAGGTATGCATTTACTACCTTTGTATACTATACTAATGGTATACTTATAAATAGTATTTCATCTGTATGTAGCGATCTCTCACTTTTTTTATTTTTAATTATTAGCCTGGAGTAACATATTTAAATTCTCTATTGATAATATAAATGTAAGCTTTAAAAATAGGATAAAAGTTATTATGAAAACAAGTGTAAATACAAAGATTGTTAGGGACAGATTCTACATGAAAAAATGAATTAAAAATATAGAATGAAATTTTATGCAACAACTTTCTCGTCTTCGGCTTTTTCCCAATGTTTACCGTTTACGAAAAAACTGGTATAATGGTATAAATTATCGCGAACACTCTATTTAGCCAAGCCCAGTCTCCATCAGTGGCCATATACCGGAGATTACTGTATTTTTTCACGTACAATCAACCCCTTACACACTATATAGCTATGATAGCAACAACAGTAATCTACATTATTACTATTAGCAAAAAGATCTGAAGAGTAGAAGAAATATTAGCAGTGTATATGAATTTTCCTTGTTCCATCGCTTGTAGTATGCTGGTATAATGCTAAAGAAAAATTCGTATGCATAAGATTAAAGCTTAAAGAAGGGAACTTCTTAATAGAATTTTCTCTATGGAATTAAAAAAAAAGACAGTGTTTTTTTTTCTGTTTCATTAATGATTTATAGCACAGCTGCAAGGATGGACATACAATACCTCAAGAGATGTTTGTGTATATATACATCCAGAAAATACAACTTCAGTTTTAAGCCCTTCAAACATATGTTCTCCATCATCGTACCTGCTAATAATTATTTGTTCAGCTGTTATGAATTTCAAAGCTAGAACAGCTATACGAAATACTTGGGCTAATAAAAATAATTTAGACGGTGTATATAATTCAACTGTGAAGGTAGCATTTCTTCTGGGACAAAGTGATAATGATACATTTAATGTATGTATCTAACTCTCGTGATTAGTTAACGAAAGATACATAAATCAATAATGAATTACGTTGCAGAACATAATAGCAGAAGAAAGCCATCAATATAATGATATTATTCAGGAAAAATTTCTTGACACATATAACAATTTGACATTGAAGTCTGTAATGATGTTAAAATGGATAACATCGAATTGTGGCCAAGCTAAATACCTAATGAAAACAGATGACGATATGTTTGTAAACATTCCTGCATTAATGAAAACTTTACAAGCAAGATCGCAAACTACTAATACATTATTAGGTTCTCTTATTTGCAATGCCAAACCGATATTAGATCCAATGAATAAATGGTAAGTAATAATTACACTGATAAATAAACTGCGGATTTTATGCATTTGTAGTAAAATTGATTATGTAGAAAACATAAAAAATACATGCATCATGTGAAATAGGAAACATTCTCAAAGCATTACTATCAATTTGAACATTGATTCTCAGTTCAATTTATTTTACAAGTTACGGGGGATTAAAAATTCAGAGTCGCAGTGTTATGCGAGTCCTACACGTGCTGT